AAAAAAATAACTGTAGTAAGAAAAACAAATGAAAAATGCGAACTAATGTAACGTCGTATGGTGAGTTTTTGTTCGTATCGTGGAGCAAAAATATGTTCGAATTTCATGTCGTATCCTGAAAATTTCGTATGCTGGGGCGTTCGTAACCTGAGGTACCACTGTACAAACATTATTACTTTTTGACATAATCACAGTGAAGATTGAGGCATTTGTCATATCTAAGGATGAGCTTTTCCATCCCCTCTTCATAGAATGTTGCAGCCAGTGACTTGAGATAGGCCTTAACGTTCTTTTGAAGGTTGTCATTAGTCTCGAACCTCTGCCCTCCTAGCCACATTTTCAGTTGAGGAAAGAGGTGGAAGTCTTCACCATAAACACCCACCAAATTTTTTTAAATCTTGCCTGTGAGTGTAGCAGAAGGTGAGAGATCATTTAGTGTTCTGAAAAGAATTAAAAACTATCTACGACTGACAATGTGTTAGGAATGATTAAATGGACTAGCAACACTCAACATTAATTACCAGATAGNCAAAAAGATTTCTGCTGACAAACATTTTATGATTGTATATTGATGTAAATAGCTTCTTAATATAATATATAAAAATTTGTTTGAGCCTTATTTTCCAAGTATTTTCAAATTTTGTTTTGATTATTTTAATTACATGCAATTGATTATTATTAAAATGTTTAATGATTTTTAACAATAATCAATATAATGTCTGAATAGTATAAAATCTTAACAAGTTGCAAATTTGTACTAATTTACAATTCTTTTTTCGTAGATGAAATGGCAACTTATCTTCATTATGTTAGAAAACTAGATTTCTTTGAAACTCCTGATTATGACTATTTAAGGAAGATTTTCCAAGATCTCTATGAGAAAAAGGGTTTTATTGATGATGGAGAATTTGACTGGACAGGAAAACAACTGGTAACTATATATATTTATAATCTTTACAAAAGCAATCATTAAAAAATCAACTTTATCTCAGCTAATAAATATTGGAATATATATCTTTTAATATGATTTTTATCATATTTTACTGTCTATAACAGTGTAGCCAGGAGTGACATCTTAATTAAAATTTGTTTGAAAATTAATACAGTGGAACCTTGGTTAACAAACGCCCTGGTTAACGACCAAATCAGTTAATGAACTTTTATTTTGCAAAAATTTTGTCTCGGATAACAAACACAACTTTTCTGTGTCAAATTTAAAGCTTGCCGACTTTTAGGGGGGAATCAGTTATTTGTGTGTCGGTCTAAGATCCATTTGTATGTTGGTGGTGGTGGAGGAGACAAAGATGACAAGTATTTTACAGTGAAAATTGTTTATTAGAACAAGAAGATGCTTACATATTTGAGGTGGTTGGAAATGGTTTATCTACAGTATTTTCTCCTGAACCGAGGAGCAACGTATTGCTCGTCCTACAATAGTGCAAGCTGATCAGTCATACCAGGGAGGATGAGATGGGTTCACTTGGTCACAGAAGCGATGGTAGGTGACAGACCTGCAACGACTGGAGCGGTCCGCGAGACACAACACAAATTTTAGCAGGCATGACTTCTGGCTTAATCCAGATGAAGATGACACAGATTAATCATTGTAGAATTTTTAGGAAAACTGCATTTTGACCTTGAAATTTGAGGTTTTTATAGTATTTCTTCCTTGAATCTCATCTTTTGATTGGTCCTGCGTCCCATTCCTTGCTTCCTGATTGCTTTCGTCTTTGTCTCTAGGTGAAAACCGAAACCAGATCAGGTCACAAGAAAGGTCTGTTCCAATGCATTTATTTGACACCTATTCGTCGACTGTGATTGGAGATTGTTGATAAATCTATAAGCCTTGCACTCATAATTTAGCCCATTGTTTCTGCTATCTGTCATTTTGGAACTTTAACGATTGTACACGATATTTTTATATACATCAAATCTTCCCCTTTTCCGAAAAATTAGCCTACATTGAATGTTTATGAGTGCTTCTGTCACAGTTCCATCTTCCCCTGATTCATTCCACCATTCCTGATTCCATTCCACCTGATCCATTACATCATTTGTTTTTGCGTCACATCTGTTTTGTTAACTACAGTTTATTTTCCTCTCCTCTCCCTTACATAACTAACATGAACTTTGGTCCGACTTGCAAAAACCATGTGAAAATTAAATTTTAGTTTCCAGCCGTTCTGGAACCTCACAAATATCAGTTGCTGTTAGGTGTGTGCAAGGTAAGCATTGCTTTTTCAAGTGTTTGTACTAAACTTATTTTTTTAGTTTTGTTATTTATATATTTAATCAATATGGCACCCAAGAAAGAGCAAAGTGATAGTGACAATAGAAAATGTTTTAGTGTCACATTAAAGAAAGAGATTATTGCAAAACATGAGAATGGTGTTCATGTTTCTGACATCACTAAAGAATATAATGGCAAAATCGACTATCTCTACAATTATTAAAAACAAAAAAGCAAAAGCATTTAAGGCTGCCGAAGTGGCTAAAGGAGTGAATGTGATATCAAAATAAAGATCTAAAGTTTTAGATGAAATTGAAAAACTGTTGCTAATATGGATCAATGAAAAGCAACTTGCTGGAGACTGTTAGTGAAGCTATAATTTGTGAAAAGGCTAAAAATTTATACAATGACTTGTTGACCCAGACACCCAGTACAAGTGCAGACAGGCAGGATTTTAAAGCGAGCCGAGAGTGATTTGATGGTTTCGTTGATGAACTGGCATTCACAGTGTCATAAGGCATAGGGAGCTTTCAAGTTCAGATGAAAAAGCAGCAAAAGCATTTGTGGATGAACAGAGCTGTAACTAGGCAGGTGCAACACATACACTTGCACAGGGCTCACTTGGAAGGTGGCCCAAACTGCTGTTCACAAGAAATTATATTTTTAAATTTAAAATTTTTCCACCTTTCTACAGTGCGGTTTGGCGATTACATTTTGCCTTACTTAGACCCTAGATGTCTGCTCACCAGTGTTCCCAACTGTGGCGACTTTTAGACAGATGTAGTGAGGTAGTGGAGACCTCAGACAAATCAGCCAAAAGTAGTGACTTTTGAGATTTTTTAATTTATTTTTTGAGAAATTTAAATTTATGTTTATAGTTTTCAAATTTACAGATTTTTCTCTACTTTATAGAGCTTTCTGGCAACTACTAATATTATTACGATATACAAAACTGTATTTCTAGATTTTTCTACAGTGTGCAGAGCTAGAAATCTGTAAAGGTAACATTTTGTAACAAAAATAAATCTGCCCG